TTATTGCATTATGTGGTGCAGTTATCTATATATATATAGCATAATTATTTGGTTCAAATTAGTTCTCATTAAGACATGGATTGCTTTTTGGTATCACCTGGTGCAGAAGTTCCCAACGAAAGATTCTGCCACCCATTTTATATTCCTAAATGAGCTGTCACCAGTACAGTACATAATGGGGAAAGAGAGCGTTTCATGAATTGGCTTTATGATCATAAAAGGATAATGACCACAGAGCAAGAGGGATAAAGGAAATGGGTAGACATTGGAAACTAGAATCTACTTGGTGACTTGGTCTTTGTATGGCTAACCTGTTTCTTGGTCACAGATGAAGCCAGGCCAGAAGAGAGGGAAAATATCCCATGGAATATATTCAACGGTTGGTTACGAATGGGTCACTGTGTCATTTCAACACATCCAGTAGACTAGCTACAGAGTGACAGATTCCTTTATGAGTAGAACTTTATTTGTAGTACAGGTATAAGCAATGCAAAACTATCAAAGCCAAAGGATGATCATCAAATTCCAAGAATACAAAGATGGGTTAGCTCCTGTTACTTTTTCCCTAGTATTAGGGTAGCACCATTTGGTAAAAAGAGTTCTTGCTTTTTTAGAAATGTAGTTAAGGAGAAACATAGTACATACTGATTATTATTCAATTACTAGTGAAGCCCAACTTATAAGCTGCATTCACACAACACAGGTAATTTATGAAAAGTTATTGGTCGGTACTCTTTTATAGTTTCGATTTCTTACCCACCATTCACAATGAAGTTCCAGGGCATCTGCAGCATATGACGTGGATTGCATAATGAAGGTGTTAGATGCATCTTTGGGGGAGGAAGTTGCTTAACTTCGGAGCTGCCACATCTAGCTTTCAGGTTTTTAGTGATATTTCAGGTGGGAGCCCAAAGTATGTCTTTTTAGATGCAAACAATCTTGGCATTTGTAATTCCAGTGGCTTGGAATTGTAATTCCAGTGGCTTGGAATTTGCATTTAGCTTCCATTGCAATCTATGAGTTTTAAGTTAAATCATTACTAACTTCTCATACTGATGACAATAAGTCCCAAGAGCAGCTAACTTTGTGTGGACCCAACTCAGTGTGCCAACTTGACAGAAATCAAGAAAACTCTGATGTATGTGATTTCTGGTTTCTGCAACCTGAACGTGTTGTTTGGTGCTATGCTACAAAAAAAGAGAGAAAGAAGAAATGAAGAAACTTGCTCCCTTTTTAAACTATTGCTTAGCCCAGAGGCACTCCTAGGAATTAGTTTTTTCTAGAAATAACAGCATTGGGAAAAGAGATCAGGGGACTAACCCAGAGGCACTGAAGACTCCATAGTCTCTCAAGGAAGGTATTAAATGAGCAGACACATTTAATGACAGGTTGGTTGAGCTACTATCCTAGTCACATTTATGCAGAAGCAAGTCTCACTGAATTCAGTGGGGCTTCCAGGTAAGTGTGCACTGGATTGCAGCTTGTGTGGGAAGATGCCAATTGTTCCACCAGACATTGCAAAGTTTTGTTAGTTGTCATGACCATAGACACTATGTGCCATATCATTGTCCTGTGAAATGCAAAAGGTTTCGCTTGTGATAATTTGTTTCTATGAGATGTTTCTAGATGAGCTGTTCGGTTTATGGTAATGGATGATAAAAGTGACATTAGATGGCAGATTAGTGAGTTACCACTGCTGCATTTGTTGTTCAATGTGTCTGAAATGCCAGCATGAAACTGATGGTTTCAAAGTGTTTGCCACTGAAAGATGAATTCCTGCAGGTTTGATTGGACACTCAGCTGTTGCACCGTTAGGTCTTTTGAATAGAAGGATTAAACACAGCTCATCCCAATGTCCTAAATGAAAAGCTTGGCATTGAGCTACATTTTATGAGCATTTTACCTCATTTGGCTCTTTGTGTTATTCAGATTTTTAAGTAGGTGCAGGATTGTTACTGTTGAAAGGCAGATATGAAACCTTTCACCTGAGGTTTTTCAGTTTGCATTCAGCTTTCAAGGACTGATATGGTCTCTTTCATCTGCTGTTACTGTGCAAAATGTGAAGGAAATAAATACATGACTTGTTTTTTACAATTGAAAACCCTTATTATCTGTTGCACACAAGGAGGCACAGCTATGTGGCAGCATTTTGATCCTTTAGTTATTTTGTTTTGGTGAGTTTAGCTGCGGAGTGAGGCATGTGTAACAAGCTCTGGTAGTCCATAGTGAACTCCTTAAGCAATTAGGAGATATGCCCTTTTTTGAGATTATTCTTTCTTGCAGAGCAATTGGTCTTGAATTCCTTCACATCTCAGGCCCTCTGCTAGTATGGCTGCAGCAATTCTCACAGATGTGCTAAAGCAGATGGGCTACAGCTCCTACCCTTGATAACTGGCAAGGCTGGCTGGGAGTAACTGGAATTTGAGCCAAACCACATCTGGGGAGTCACAGGTTCTCTTTCCCTGCTGTAAAGAGCTGTGCCTGCTGCAGCTGCCATGACTATGTGCCAGCAACTATGCAGGAAATAGTAATCTCCCGTAAAATTCACGTTCTGCATGGATGCTGATCACCAATGGTCTGGATTCCGTGTTTGAAATTAGCCAGGCGCCAAGTGCATTTTGCACCTGACTTTATTAGCCGCCTGCGACCAAGTGAAGATGCCTGGGCATTAGCATGGTACCCGACATCTCTGCCATCTGGAGATCATTGGATGTTGACTGTTTTCACACACCAATACCAAATCCTGTAGGATCTGCACAATCAGAATGAATTTCAGGAACCAAAATGCTTTTTTCTGGGCAGCCTGGGCAGGAACAGTGAGTAACGTTATAGTTAAATGTTGCAGTTTGTCTTTGCTTACCCCACCCCACTACTATGCTCGTAGTTGTGAAGAATATTCGTACGTTATAAATGGACTGTGTCACCATTTAGAAAAAGAGGTAGGAACAGGCCATATATATGTGGACTGCCCCTGGATAAACTGACTACTTTTCTTTAAGTTCTCAAAGTTCCTAACCTAGCTCAAGTTTGTCATCTGAGCTAGCCGGGTGTTTAACTGAGAATCAATCAGAGTCAGTCCATCTTAGATCCATCTTGCCCTAAAGTGGCAACTAGACATTCTGGTAAGTGTAAATTTGGTTTAAGGAACCATTTGGCACCTAGCTTACAAATCTGAGTTTCTAACACTGTCTGGATTTGGACTTGTGATGAGCAGAGTTCCATTCATGCTGAAGGGTTGAGGAGGCAATTGTTGCCAGTTGCCACACCCCTGTGCCTCATGAAAAGGTGTTATGGGGAGTTGGGAAATCTTCTGGAACATTTCTGGAGGGTGGTGCTGAGACAGGCATGATTAGCAAAGATTGCTCCATCTTTTCCTCTGACATAGAGCCCTACTGGATCCTGGTCTCTTCTGCGAATGAAAGGAGGAAGCGCTTCCATTTACAGTGGGGTTAATCTCAATCCACACCATGCCAAAGCCAACCCAATTAGGCAGACGTTGGTATAATCACCAACTGGTGTAGGGAGCTGTTGCAAGTGTTCTGCTAGAAACGTGTCTGAAAGTGGCCTCAATCTTTATCCACTAAGTAGGGTAAAAAAGGTAGAAAGAAGATACTTACTGTACCAAGAGAATAGAATAAGCCACCCTATGAATCATATGCGTGTATTTTCTTGATTACTGGTGTACTCATACATGATGAATATTGCATAAAACCTGGATAGCTCAGTTGGTTATAGTGTGGTGCTGATAACGCCAAGGTTGCAGGTTCGATCCCTGTATGGGACAGCTCCATATTCCTGCATTGCGGGGGGTTGGACTAGATGATCCTTGGGGTCCCTTCCAACTCTACAATTCCCGATTATAATGCTAGTGCTTCTATCCTGCTTTCCTGTGTTCATTTCAGACTGCAATACTAGTTTTGTTATAGAACTGTGGCTTTATGACCTCTATACCTGTATGTCATGCTAAATTTCATTCACACCGGTTGTGGTTTGACCCAACAATGAATGTCATTGAATATTCATTCACTGCTCCACCACCCTTCCCACACATGTGGGCTTCTATTTGTCTATGATTCAACCATGAAAGCAGCAGGAAAGAACCATATGCTGGTATACTTATCCAAATTTAGTCACTTCCATGATTTTCTAGGTCAGGGGGGCTATAAATGGATTTCCCTCCCCTGGAACTAAGTAACATAGAAAGAGCACTTAATCTGTGTTGTGTTCCATTAGTTTTCTGGAAATGGCTTCTATGTTGTGTGGAAACTCAAATATGATCTGGGAATTAACAGTTTGGGGAAATGGAATAAAACTGTTGGGTGAATGCAGCTACATAAATGAAGGAAACCAATAAAGTATAATAAGCATAAACAGCTGTCAAGACTTACATTAGTAAAGCCGGCAGACTTCTCATTTCCTAGATTTAATTGCACTGTGTACATGGTCCATATAGTAGGCTGGTCCACTAACCCAATTCAAGTGAATAAACCTTAATCATAAGTATACAGTATCTGCTATGTGGGGTGGGGATCCACTCCATTTCCATTAAATTCAAGTTTCTCACGTGTTGTATTTCCCACAAGCTATGGAACTTTATTCTCCAAGAGAATTGTCTCCAAAATCATGAACCTTTTAGGGTACCATGCCTGGGTTCTAATAGCACGTATATAACGTAATATAATAATAACGTAGCACTCTTTATTAGTGTGTGCGGTGTAGCTTACAGCTTTTACTCACAGGGATTGCTAAGTTTAGTAAAACTTGTCTGTTCTGTCCATTTTCCTGCTCATAAAATGTGGTTTTCCATGCAATGTTCTATGGATCAGGTGGAATTCAACACTGTGTTAATACATACATTCTGTCTGCATAACAGCTTGCCAGATGGAACAACGCCCCCCCACCCTGTGTGCTGTTCTTAACTTCCTCTGAACCAATTTTGGTGTGTGTGAGTGTATTGTATTTGTATTGTACACACACACACACACACACACACACACACGTAAAATTTAAAATACATATTTAATGTACATATTACACGCATTCAATTTTAAAAAGTGCAGAACAGTCTCTAGAGGGCTTCTTACAAGGCAAGTCAAAGAGAGAATATTTATAATCTTTGTGTTGGTGAGTATTGCTCTGTAGACTCCAAATTCTCCCATGAGCTTGTTCTTCGTTTGGGGCTGATTTCCTCCCTGCAGAAGGTGCATAAAAGGAGAACTTCCTTTAGCACGTTGCAAATCAGAAGCATAAAAACAATCATGGGTCTCCTTAAGCTCTCGTAATGCTGTTTGGAATGTGATCAAACTTACATGTACTCAAATCTTAAATATGTACAACTTTTAAAGTTTTAAGTGCTATATGCGCCAAATGTATTGATTTTGCGATTTCTAGGCTTTGTGGAAAGCAAAAGCAGAAGGGGGGGGGGTTAAGAATAGTGCCATTTATTTAAAGCCCTACATTTCCTGCTAAGATACACAACAGGTGATGGTGGGCTAAATCCTTTGGAAATGTGCTGAGAATCAGAACCACTATTACGGAAAACTTGGCAGTCTGTTTAAATAAAAAAAAGAGCTAACATACAGTAGAAAGCATGTTTGTTCATATCAGGCTAAATAAACTTTTGTTCTGTGTCACAGGGATCCTGTATCGCAAGTCCTGTGCATCCTCTGCAGCTTGCCTCATGACCTCTGCCGGATACCAGACTTTCTGTACTCCAGGGAAGATAAACTCTGTTTGTATAAGCTGCTGCAATACTCCACTCTGCAATGGGCCCAGGCCAAAGAAGAGAGGAAACTCTGGCACCATGCCCAGGGCTGGTGTATTAACAACCATACTGCTCTCTGGCTTGGCATTTTTTACACCAGTACACTGCTGAACTCTAATGGAAGATTTTTTGTTGTTGTTGGCATCGTTTTGTCCAGACACAGCTGGTTTCCATTGTAATGTTGCTGTTTGCTTCCAACTGCTAAAAGAAGAGTTTGATTTGAAAAATCCTCAGCAACTTCGTTAGCAGCAGAATAGGTCTAGTTGTCCTGTCTTTCTGGTAAGCACTTAAAAAACAAAAAAGCCGTCACCCATGTTGATCCCATATTCATTTATGTTATTGGGAACGTAGTCTATTGAAACAAAGCACTTAAACTTGAAGGGTGCAACCACATAGGCTGCAAAAAACCCTTTGTTGTGCTTTTTTATTTATTTCCAAAAAAAATCCAATTTTTAGCATACTGTCTCATCCGGCTCTGTTTTTTTTAATGTGGATTCACAGTTCGTGTTCACAAAGTCCATTTTGGTTAGCAGGGCTAGGATCTGTGCAAGTCTCCAGTGGCATCGTTTTCACATTCAGCTCCAGTGATTCAAGACTCAATTTCTGCAAACTGCAGCCAGGCTTGGTTTCGCTCTGAAAAGTACTTAAGAAACCCTTGTTAGCGCTCTTGGTGGAAGACTTGCGCATGGCGGATGACGCGAAGATCAATGGGTGCCGCGAGCGGCCGCTATCGGCTGCAGAATTCAAATTGGCTCTCAAAAGCTTCTGTTTGTTGGCGTGTTCCAGTGTCAGGCGACAGCGGAGGACCTGAACAAACACATTCCGGAACTGCTGGGAGGAGATATTGTACAGGAGCGGGTTCACGACGGAGCTGAGGTAGAAGAACGTATCTGCTATAGGGAGCAGGGTGATGTATGCTCTGAAGTAGGGGACTGTCCAGTCCTGCTTAGGTCTAGCAGCAGCCATGATCCTTCGAACTTGATTTGGCATCCAGCATATTGCCAGAGAGGCAACGATCAATCCTGCAAGCAAAGAAAGAGGAAAGAGAAAGCATGTGAAAACAAATCATAAAATATTTAGTATCAGTTCTGCACTTACCGGCTAGGAAATGACACCAATTTTTCAGTGTTTTGCCTGACAGCTTCTTCTGCCAGTAGCAAAATTTGTTCCAAGGAAGGGGAAAAGAAGGAGCAGAGTGAGGGGGGAAAGCAAGGCACTGATTCAAGGTCACTGCAGTCTGTGCTCCGATAAGTATTATATAATATTTAAGACAGCATTTCTCTTTAGTCCTTGGCATTGGTTACGTTCAAAGACATTGTCTTTTAGCGATAGTGCATTCCTCAAAAAATTATATATATTTTTCTCGTTCCTGCTCCCTTCCCTTTTCCTTCATCCCCCCTCAATTATTATTAAAAAATACAGCCATATTAGAGCAGGCAATACCCAAAAGATGACCAGATTCTGTTTATATTTTACAATACAAATATGCATACAACTGTATATTTGGCATTATTTTTGGTAACTTTTCTCTTACAAAAGATATTTTTACGTACTGTGTGAATGGCTCTTTATGATAAGGAGCATATAATGGGCTTTCCAGGGGAAAAAATCCAGTAGAATTAAAATATAAATTAATATGGCACAGGGGAAAAAACACTCAAGTATACAATGGAAATGGCAAATAGTTGCAGTTAATATGAAGTATGTTCAAAACTTTGATATCCCATGCATTTTGTAATCACCTATAAACATACTTTCTCCACTTTATTAGGCCCTGGAGTTTTGTTTTGTTTTTCAGCACGTTAGATTTGTCCTTGATCCAGTACCAGGCCCACACAACGACAGCTAATTGCTGGTTGCAACAGGGGAAAGACTCCCAGGTACTTGTAGTGCTTCATCTGCTATAGCTGACAGAAACACTTTTATATAGAGCTTTAAAATATTCAGTGTCCTTCCCATTCATTATCTTGCATACAATGGAACCTATGAGGTAAGTCGCTGTTATTGCTGCCACTGAACAGAAAATGACTTGCTTTGAACCTCATAATGGTGGTGAGTCTTGAACCGTGATTGTAGTTCAGCCTCTTAGGCTGCAATCCTAACCCCATTTACCTAGAAGGAGGCCCCACTGATCGTGCTTTTAGCTGGTAGACTACAATGGGAGTTGATGAACACACGCATGGTCTAGAAAACAGCCAATGTCTATTAGTTCCAGTTTAAGTATGCAAGGATTGCAGCCCAAGTTGCACTGAACACAGTAGGACCAACTTCCGAGTAAAAATGCATTGGATTGTGCTTTTAAATTTTGATTGATAATGTTTCTTTAACAGGAATCTCTTCCCAGAAACTGGATAGTATTAAAATGAATGTACTTGGAGCCTCTTTCTTTTTTCAAGGATGCACTCAGTGGTATGGGGGAAAGTGTTTAAAAAATTCTGTTTAATTATTAAACTCCTCTATAATGCAATTCCAAAGTTTTCAGCCTCTTTACCCTGCAATGGTGTTCCTTGTTTTGCAGTAAATGTGCCTTATGTGTAAAACAAAACACTTTCATAACAGAGGTTCCCCAACCATTGCAAATGTTTTCATTGATTTGTGCATTTTGCACCATGCCGTTTACTCAAGCTCCTATTTGCTCTCAGGCTAAGTTACTCAACGCAGCCTGCTTCTTTGGCAAGAGCACAAGCATTATGCTTATTTACTCTTGCCAAAATTAATCTGGACTCGTATCTAATCACTATTATATGGGAAGAGTAAAATAAAAAAGGTTAGAATAATTGAGATGTCCAGGATTCTAAATGGAAAAGAAAGATTGTTGTCTCGAGGAATGTAAAGGAATTTGATAATGCCGATAGAACAATAAATATGAATGTATATTGAAGTAGTGGGAAATTTTGGCCAGCACCTTGGAAGAGCCAGGATTGAACATAACCTTTGTGTGATAGTAGTTTTGTGAACCTTTTTGTTTTGAATGTTTACTTTTGGTTAATAAAAGAGATTAATTTTTGTAACTGAGAATCTTCCATTAATCAAAACCTTTCTGTATTTGCTGTGCTCATTACTACACCGTATAAAAACAAACAGATGTGTACAGTTTTAATGCCAAGGGACAGTTTTGCAACAGCAGACATCTTGGTGCGTTTGGTTTCGCAGACAGGAAAGTAACAGCTGGTGAACAAGATTGCCAGAGGCAAAGAGCAAACAGCATCCCTTTGCATTCCCTAACCAAAATCAAACTGGACTGGTAGCTGCATCTTACTTGACCACTGGTGACATGATAGCACCATCCTCTACCACACCTGAGGGTAACAGGTTGGCTTAGAGGGTGCAGAGCAGGTTATGCAGCATGCACAGGTCTATCTTCCAACACCTCCCCTCCCCTGGCAGCTGTTTGCCTAACAGTTGGGCTACCCCCCTGCTGGTGAGCAAGGTTAAAAGGACTTAAACAGAAGGAAAATGTCATTTTCCTCACAGGTGCTTAAGAACACATGACTAAGTTTGTAGATATTATACTCCTTGTTTTGCATCTTCCTATTATTCTCGATCATCCTCCTGGCAACAGCTGCCCATAGCAGACCCAAGGTAGGTGCACTGTTTCTTTGCCAGCTCCTAATTAGTGCATAGATGGTATAAGGCACACACACAAAATGTCCTAACAATGAATGCGATGCCCTTGAGTTTCTAGTAACACATGGAAGATGGGATTGTGAGAAGTCGCTTAATTACTTCAAATCTTGGAGCCCAAACAGGCAAGCAGAAGAGTCAAGTGGAGACTGCTTTTACTAGACTGTATGTACCATTTCATACAAAACACATTCACACATCACACTACTGAACCATGGTTTGTTTTGTATTTGTTACCATCACTACTCACAAACTAATTTGCAAAGGGCTGCAAAACCATGTTTTTTGGAGCTTCTTTGTAAACCAGTGTGTTTGCTGAGATTTGCTTATGATTTCAAAAACCATATAGTTATGGCAATTGCTCTGCCTCAAAAGGCTGCTCGCTGTTCAGTGAATCTGAATGCTGAGCAAATGGAAAACAAAAGCATTAAAGAATTCTAAACCATGGTTTCCTGTTATACTGTGGAAATAAATGATGGTGTGAGCTGTTAGTTAGCACAATCATGGCTTGTTCTGATGTCTAAATTGAATCAGAAAGTAAAGAACTGCATTTTGAATGTTCCCATGACCATACAAAATTAGGCCTTGCTTTTAACATGCAGGAAGTCTCTGTACATGCAAGCAAACGTGTGTGTAAGTGTACATGTGTACATGTGTACACTTACCTATTCAAACAAGTGCTTCCTAGCTCTATTTAGAAATTTACCTATTCGTTTAAATAGCAGAAACTGAACCAGGTGATGGTTCTGATTGCATGTGTTCCCTGTTCCAATGCAATCCTATAAAAGTCTGCTCAGAAGGAAGTTCAATGGGACTTATTCCCTGGTAAATGTGTATGGGATTGTAGCCTATGCACACTAACCTAGGAGTAAGCCTCACTCTGTAGCAGTTATTTTGTAGTAGGTATGCATGATTGCAGTGAGAGTCTCTTTACCTCCTTTGCACTTGCTTCACTTCAGGTCCTTCCCTCTACTACAACAGACCTGCTTTTAAAACAGGCATTTCATCACCACTTGCTCTTTGATCATTCCTCATGTAAAAAGCACAATGAGGTCATGCCCTCACTCCCCTCACTCTTGTTTCTCTGTGCTGTCATAATCATTAACAAGAACTAAAGATCAATGAGGCACAGCACAGACGTCACTGAAGGCATGTAAATCTAACAAAGGTACTCTGTTTTTAAGAAAAAAAGGTGGACCCAATGAATTTACTTTTGAACCTTTAGAATACTTTCAATTTAGGCCAGTAGCCAGAAATTTTGTGATAAGATGTGCAATCATTGTATTACATCATCATCATCATTAAATAACTTTATGAAGTTAGGGCCTTGGGCTATCCTAGTGCCTCTGTATTCATTGACCAAAACACTGGAAGGCAGGGTCGTTTTTTCCTGAGAAAAAGCCGTGCATGCCTTTCCCCCAAAGTAGAAGTGATGCAGATATGCATATCTATTTTTCAATTAAAGATGAACATTAGGGCCCTAATCTAGGATGTTTATGAAGAGGCCACACTGCTGTGGCTATTGTGAAGAAAAAGGGAAAAAAGCAAAAGCAGGAGAAGTGGAAACAAAGGAAATAACATCATAAGAGGCTGCTGGCTCAGGCCAGTGGCCCACCTATTCCAGCTCCTGCTCTCACTGTGGCCAACCCACAAGCAGGCCTTGAGCACAAGCAAACTATGTTCTCCTGCAGTTTCCAGCAAGTGGCATGCATAGCCATAATGTTGTCCAATCAACCTTGGACAAGTTGCTGGCCACCAGTGCTTCATGTGGCAGTGAGTTACATAGTTTAACCATGTGCTGTGTGAAGAAGTACCTTCTTTTACCTGTGCTGGTCTTCCTTTGTGCATCCACAAATTCTAATGCTATAAGAAAGGGAGCTCTTCACAATCTATTTAAACAACGCTGCACAGTTCAGTATCCTAAGCAAAGTTGGTTACCTCACTGCTCACCCACTTTCTATATCCCTCCACCTGAAGAACTATTTATTCCTGCTCTCTGCTGCCCTGGTCCACAATTCTTGGACCTCTCCTGTTATTCCCTTGACTGCTAAGCTTACTCAGGAGACTTTGGTGAAGTACCTTGTCTAAATAGCACACAGTACACTATGGAAACTGGACCATCTCTACCTTCTTTTGGACACTCTTGCAGAATATTAGGTTTGTGAGATAGAACTGGCCTTTGCAGAAGACACACTGGCATAGTTTAAGCAAAGCTTGTTCTTCTATATGCTTTCTTATTTTAACAATACTTTACACCATTTTTTTCCAGCTAGCTGGCCTGTTAATTTCCAGGATCACCCCCGGATCACCCTTTTTTTTAAAATGGTGTCTGTCATAACAGGAAGCTATGCTTTGGTTCAGACATAACAATCTTGCTCCCATGGTTTATGGAACTAAG